CTGTTATATTAAAACGCAGAGACTAGCAGTCATGTAGGAGGAAACTAATAACCATACATTTGTCCTTCAGCGAGGATATCTCTCTCTCCAGTCTGGCCAAGCGTCCTTTCAGCTCGGCCATCTCTGCCTCACATCCTCCAGTGCAGCCACCGGGCATCAAACTGATCTTATGTGTCATGACCAGCGGAGCACCAGGTTTTAGGCTCACTTCATGCTCTTTGGTGTTGCTTGATTGACAGTCATTCGCAATAACCACCTTGATCGGCTGTGAAGAGGCAGTCTTTACTTTAGTGTCGCTGGGAGACTTGTTTACAGTTGCCTGATCTGCAGAGGTTTGGGCCCTGTCCTTGACAGCAGCAGAACCTCTCGTTATATTTTGGTCGATGAGCACAGGTTTGTGTTTTAAATTCTTGATATCACCGGTAGAGGGAGATTTGGCCACAACTGTAGGATCAGCAGAGGCTGTTGTCTGGGGTTTAACTGCTACTGGGGTGCTGGGTGCAGCAGCCTTTGCAGGTGTGGCAGTTTGGACTGTGGAAGTCGGTTTAACTTTGGAGTTCTTCAAATCTTTGACTCCGACAGTTTGATTATCAGATCCCATGGTCTTCACTTTGACAGCGGCAGAACTGCTGGATGTAGAGGCCTTTGCTGAAGTTAAGAGAGGAGTCTGGACTGTGGGGGCAGGACTTTCTTTAGAGTTCTTCACTTCTCCGGTGAAGGGAGATTTCATAACAACAGTCTGATTGACAGAGGCTATTAGCTTGTTTTTGGTGGTTTTTGTGCCACTAGCTGACTTTGTGGATGTTGACTGAGCATTTCGAACTCCCGTGGGGCCTGGCTTGACTTTGGCAATCTTCCCATTGCTGTCCGAAAGAGATTTATCAAAAGCTGTTTGATTGACTGAAAGTTGAAGTTTTTCTTTAGTGGTTTTAGTGTTGTTGACTATTGCTGACTTTATGGCTGCTGACTGATCGTTAAGGGCTCCAGTGGGTCCATGACTGCCCTTTGTAACCTTCACTTCGCTGGCTCTGGATTTAGCTAAACCTGTCTGATTAACTGACACTGGAAGCTTGTCCTTCTTGATTACAGTTCCACTAGCTATGGATGTCTTCAGTGGTGGGGACACAGTGGTGGAGTTCACTGTCGGTCTGGGCTTACTTCTAGCGGTTGCTGTAACGTTTAGTACTGAAGGTTTTTGGTTGGGGAGAAGAGTCGGTAAAACTGTCTGGTTGATGTTTAAATTTTGGGTGGGGCGGCCGTTCAGTTTGGCAGGAGCGGTGCTGGTTTTTGGTTTCGGAGCAGTGAAAGCAATATTGGTTTTAGTCAAGGCATTTTCTGTGGAGCTTCTCTTCTGATTCGTGCTGGTTTGAAGTGAAGCAAAAGGAGTGAGAAGGAGGAGAAGTCCAAGTGTAAACAACATTTTGAGGCAGTAACCAGAGATTGACTTTGGAATATCAGTTGAATATTATCCTTAAAATTATGAAGTTTTCCTTCCGTTGGGTTGAGCCAGCTTTTACCTACAAATGAGAAGAACATTATTAATTGCATCTTTTTGGTTGATCAACAATTTCAAAAAATCTGAGGATCTTATGTGTTGCTTGTTTTCAGTCAGTCAATTTCTGATCTTGAAGTCTTCTCATCTTGAAGTCTTGATGACCATTTGTTGGCTACTAAAAGTAATGTTCATGCTCAGTATTTACATGGCAGTGTTGAAAGACAGTACATTTTCATAAATAAAAAAAACGGGAGTAGTCTTTCAAGCTTTTTAAACCCTGTGATCATAAGTTCCGAGAAGGTAAAAGGTTCATTAAGCAGTCATCCACAAACGATGCCCTCAAAACCCATTCCATCAGTTTTAGCTGATTTTCTGTATCAGTAAATAAACACGTAAATTCATGTAAAAATGTAAATCCTAGTCTCTTCCATTTACTCAGAACAGACATACAAACATATAATTTTATTAACATATTGTACTTAAGAAATCTTATCCTTGATTCACATTTGATCAAAACTGCATTTACTGTGCAATTTCAAAATAAACCTATACTAAATAGCAGCTGACATAATGTGACAGTGTTCTGACCCACACCCATAATAGTCCATTCATCTGCTTGCCCAGTCCATCTTAGATGGTTTTGAACAGGAAGGAAGAAGTCTGATGGTGAACCTGAGTGGAGAACGAACAGTGGGGGACTGTATGGGACTGTGGGACATTGTTTGTCTTTCGCTCCACAGAAGCTTACATAAGCCTCAGCAGCCGCGGCCAATAAAACCCACCTAAAGAAATATGTCATACTGCTGAATGTAATTGATAGAATATCAAGTAAACTGTTCAACGGGTCAACACATTGCAACACCAGATGACCTACATTTTGTGTTTGGCAATTAAGAGTGTATGTACTTATGTACTGCACTGAAGTGCACCACTTTAACTTCTAAACAGGGAAGGCGTAAGCTATGACAAGTTAATTTACATTAACTTTTGCAATCAAAGATGCATGCACTTTAACCAATTACCGGACACTTGAAGTAATTGAAAGGGCTGCCTTCACAAGACCCGTATGAACATAATATGCGAGCCAAAAATATTTTTACTGGCAAATATTTGAAACAGCTTTTGCACGGTCATATCACAAAATTGGGTTTGCAGTAGATGTATTTAATTTCATATGTGCTGATTTCATGCAATATTTAAACAATATACACATCAGTTCTCCGCCAAAATGCATGATATTTTGACAGTTAAAAGAGATCAATACCAATACATTTATTTCCCCACCCCAACTTATCATTGGATGAAGAGGCACTTACCTGATTAATGGTTTTTGTATCTTATCTCTGTTTGCCTCCCTCCATTTGAGTGGAAAATTGTCCACAGACTTGAAGGGTGGGAGTTGAGCAGAAGAAAGGTGGCAAGGGATAAAGTTCGCTTCTACTTAAGGGACCCCCACATCCTTTCCGCCCCCCTCAACTCCTCCCCCAAGCTATCCCACTCACTCAACCTCCTCTGAAAATATTGGAGCTCGACAAAAAAATGGGTACATTTCCATTGACTTCAGGTCTTTGATTTCCCATGGATCTTCTATTGTTGACCACTATCTCAATTAAGATCACCCTGTTTAATGTAGTTCAATACGTTATCATTTATTTTCAATTAATTTTAAAGTTGGTTCATTGTGATTTTTTTTTCCTCCAATATAATGTTATCCAACACTGTATGCATAACAATGTACAACTCACGCATTCACAAACAAACATACACCCGCATACACATCGACAGTGATTGAATGAATGTTCGGTGTTAGAATCATGATTCAGCTGCAATGCATAACATAACACTGCAGGTATTCAGTGGCCACTCTGGGGGCAAAGGAACCTCTTGCTATATGAATCGGCCGTCTGTTGGCATTAATGAGAGGTAACTACACCACAGTTATGTAAGAGACCAACTATCCAGCACATCTTAAGGAATGCTCTGTGGACGCTCTGCATCTTGGACCAAAATGGCCACCCACCATCCGTCCTTTTGTAAACCACATGAAGACGAGTTAACTCAGGCTTTGCAAGCAAGTGGGCATGAGTGACATTTTGCAGAGGTGCAACACTTCCAACCACTGCAGCACGCATGCCTATTAATAAAACAGACACTTTTGATCACAGAGCACATTCAATGAATTTTATGATTTTTTTTTTCCAATCAAAAAAGGGGAATGAAATGTGGATTGTATTCTTAATATGCTGCAAAGCATACAATATATCATCCAAAAGCAAAATAAAATGAAAAAATAGTTTCCCATGTTCTTCTAATTGTAAAATAATAATAAAAATTAAAGAAATGCACTAATGCACAAAATAAAATGCTGGACATCAGCATCAAAGGAGAATTTCAGATTTCCTTCACAATCCATACATCATCAGGGTTGGGGCTGAGCTGGGGCCTATCCCAGCTGACTTTAGCAGAAAGGTGGGGTACACCCTGGACTTGTCTCAAGCACGTAGAGACAATCAACCATTTACACTCACATTCACACCAATAGAGCGGGGCTGAGTTTTGAACACCAAACCTCAGAGCTGTGAGCTGTAAAAAATGAGGCAGGCAGTCATGCCTTATTTTTTACAATATGACCTTATTATTCAGTTGAAAGTTTGAAATAAACTGAAATAATATCAATAATATAGACAGCAGGGTTAATCCGTCCGTCGATCCAAACATCCATCCAGAAACACAATTGTCAGAAATGCCCCATACACAGGGCTGTCTTCATCAGTGTCTCCACCTCATGCTCACATCTCGTTGGTGCAAAGTGCACCACTCCACTCCCCACCCACCGCTGCACCCCGTCTCATTGCTGACCCTGCCCTGGCCTTTGGGAAAGGCCCGACCTTAATCAACGATATTCCACACCTGACAAAATATAAACAGCTCTGAGAAAACATGTCACATCGGCATCTGAAGCACATTTACTATGTCATATGTTGCTCAATGTACAAGTTCATGACTGTTATTGACACTAAAGTTCTTGTGGCAAACCGACGATGAAGCAGAGTATGAGTTTTAAGCCCACACTTTCAACATTTATTGAGAGCGGTAGATGTTTTATGTTATTTAAATATGCTCTTTCCTACGTAAGTCTGAAGTGTCGTAAATACACTCTATTTTGTATGTCATTATTGAGTCTTATACAAACCAATGTACATGAACTCTTACTGGGTAAAACCCAGAATTTGGTTTATGCATTGGAATAGAATGTTTAATGGTAGATATCCCGCAGAGGTTTTTCTCATCACATTTCAGTGAAAATCAACGCACCAGCAGGCACTTTCAAAAGAAACAAAGAAACGAAACAAGAAATGCGGTACATATGTTTCATTATATATATTTTTGAAATTTGAATTGACAGAAGCTCACATTTTGAATTGGCATCATATCGAATGTGCAGTGGAACCTGCTAAATCCAACAAGTCAAAATTAATCCCAAATGTTCTTTATCCCTCTCCAGATCCTCATCAAAAAGTGATGGGATCCTTCTTGGCCCATGTACCACATCGCTCCAAAGTTCCATGATCCAGCCATTTTCTCTACTGCTTGTCTTCAGTCAGGTCACTGGTGGACCCCATTTGTTTTTGGGCGAGAGGTGAGGTACGCCTTAGATTGTTTGCCAGTCAATCACAGGGCTCATATAAACAAGTACAGTACTCGCGTAAACATTCACACAAATGGACTACGGTCTTCAATGATGCTGGATTTTGAAAGGAGGCCGTAAGCCCAAAAGAAGTCTAACCCAGGGAGCCTTTTACATTCAAAGAGCCATTTCGACTCAGTTTCCATTGAAAACACGCACGCACGCACGCACGCACACACACACACACACACACACACACACACACAATAGTAAATCAGACTGCCATTTAGACAAGTGGGGACATGTAGTACATGTAGTTGCAATAATAATAGTTTTGACTTGACATCCCCATTCATATGTAAAATCCAATTACCACCTTTAGATTCTCGTCTGTTAAACATCGAAATCTTGACGAAGCTTTAGCTCTTTTTACTTGCCAAGATGGTAGCCATTGACTCCTTGGGTTTGCAGGTGACTAGTGTTTCAGCCTTGGCTAGTAGTTCTGGCATATATCCTCTCCAGATTCAAACGTAATGAAAAGTCTAATGGTCGGAGGCTGGGACAGAGCAGCCATTGATGGCTCCGCATTGAAGTGATGCTCAAGTCCTCCCATGTTGCTTACATTGGACTGGGCCTCTGAGATTAGAATAATATCAACACATAAGCCTTTGCTTGTTCCTCACTTCTCCATCGCTCGCTCGCTCGCTCTTTCTGTCAGTTGTTTTCTCTGGTTAACTTGAACGCTCTCAACATTACAACTTTTAAAAGATGGAGATGACATTTTGGACCACACCGGGTTAAAGAAGAGATATTTAACCCTAAATCTGTTGCCTGTTCACACAACCGTCAGCAAGTGAGTCCGCTGACATTTGCTGTGAACATTTTGTGCCAACCTGAAAATCACCTCCTCTCCCTCCTCCATCACATCGCAGATGTTAGGAGGCAGGCCGTCTGCAACTTTAAGGATGACTGTGTGGAGCACAGAGACCCCTCTCAGCTTCTTTATGGCAAGGCCAGTGAATGAAGGAGAAAAAAAAATGAAAATAAATATGTTCAGCTGGAAAGCTCAATCAAACTAGCTCACCAAACTCAGTCACCCTATTTGGAGGGACATGACAGCATGGATGCATCTGAGATTTGCGACATAACACTGAGCGATAACTTTTATCAAAAGTTTAGTACAAAAAAGGATGGGGGGGGTCACCATAAAAAAAGGAAAAACTGTAATTGATCTTTTATTGTATATTCTCATGTCAACTGCAGACATTCTCCTGCTCCTCACTTGCTAGAGCACCAAAAGTGATGTACGGGAAATGACGTACCAGAAATGATGCACCAGAAATGCCGCATTTGACCTAGCCCTTGTCTTCCATTCATAACAAGCTAACTAAACATGTTATTTTGCACATCTGTAGCAGTAAATAATCATTACCTAATAATAATTACCTCTGATGAAGAGCCCATCTTTTTTTTCTTTCTTTCTTCCTTTTTGTTTGTTTGTTTGTTTGTTTGTTTGTTTGTTTGTTTGTTTTAATCCAATGCTTTGAAACGGCATTACCTAATGAAATTGGGATTTCTACATCTGGATTATTTTGATCCGTATGACATTTTTTTGAACAACTGGCCCGTTGTGGCTATTGATCTTAAATTCCAAATGCGTTGCTTTTGGAATCCAACTTTTTTTTTTTAAAGTAATCTTCATCAAAAGATGAACAAATATATGTCAAAGCTAGTTTACTCTGCTTGTTATCGTGGCCTGCAATTAATTTTAGTCTTAACGTGCGTGTGTGTTACTTCATTAACTCCATACAAGTTACGTGACATTGAAACCTCCACCTCAATGTAATTCAATGACATGGGGCTCACGATAGAGTTAAAGTGACAGATTTGTATCATTTTCAAAGTGATTACTCTATTCAACTTGCAGTTGACTGACCCTCCCTGCTACGTTTGGCCAAATGCTCCTGTTTTCAGTAGCTCGGTGCAACGTAGGAATCACTCCAGGTCCACGTACGTCTCCTTGCATTGTTTACATTGCAGATGAATAGGGCTTTTACTTACTCCACTTGAAGCGCCTCCTCCTACTTGAGAGTGGAGAGCTACGGACACTCTTCACGTCCCTCATTTCAGCCACAAACTCAGCAAGAAGTGGGATCTCAGCGATGGCCGTTGGTATCAGACTCTTGGATACGCATAAGAAAAACAGTGTTTGCCGCATATTATCTGGGTAACTGGCACAGCACTCAGACGAAGTAGCTGACTTTCTCGCTTCTGAATTTGAACTGGCTTCGGGTAACAAACATTTAACTTTCCCCCCCACATTCACACAGACAGATAGGTGCTCTTAGGCTTTCATGGGTTCCAGCGGGTAGAAAGCTTTGACAGTCTGCACCGTGATTCAGAGATCAACATGTCTCTGCAAAAAGCCTTGGGCAACCATTAGACTTGCTGTTTTTGTGTGACTGTGACTCGGTCTCTTCATTGGGAAACAATCAGAAAACTCAAAGCAAAAAACCAAACAGGCGAGTGTGATCTCCCCATCCACATGCTACACTTGACTTTTACAGCCAGTGGAACCCCTAAGTTTGAACATCATTCTTTCCTTCAGGTAATATAAACTGATCCTGTTTCGACCTCATCATCGTAAAACCTAAATTACAGGTCTGTGCAACGCTGTGCCTTTCAGTTTTAAACAGTAGGAAGAAAGCCTTCAGGAACTAATATTTAAAACAGCGCCACCGAGTGGTAATGGGTTTTATGTACAGGTCAGCTAATTCCTGACAGGTTGAGGTTAGGCCCTAACAATCTCTAACCGTTAGGGTTAGGGTATTTTCCCTTTAAAACATCTTGAAAAATTCAACATTATCTTGACATTTATTTTAAAAGTGTTAAAATCATACCATTCACTTTACTAAGTAGGGATGACTCTATTTAGTCGGTAATATTACAAATTACTAATAGTTATAGGACATAGTGATGGTACAGAAACCTGTGATTTGATCAATTGGTGCATGGCGTCTGTAACTTAGAGCTGAGGACTGTATTAGATGAAAGATGCAGTGTATATCATCATATATATGTAGATATTTATATATTTATGTATCCTCGGCCTCAAAGCATAATTGCCGCTATATACCTCGAGGAGTACAGCCACCCTGATAATGAGCCAAACAAAGTTGGTCACCATCGTTTTTTTTTTCCTGCAGCATCTCCGAGGGTAACTGTAGACAACAAGCTTACCACCACATCGAATTGGTATCCAGGAGGGAAAAATGAGCAAGTCTGAAAAGATCTGCCATAGTTCTATAGTACGCTACTGTATATCAGTGCAAGGTGACTGAAATGGATACTTCTGTCTTCCTCTTTCATCCTCTGCACACAGAATAAATTGTTATAGCATCAAATATTCACAAAAGTTGCATTTTTGGCCTGACAGTTTGTGTTGAAGTCCACGGTGAAAATATAAGGTCAAAATTGACTTCATTGGATGGTACTAACATGACTAAATTCAACATTAAACACAAATATGCTTAATTACTTGTAACAAATAAAGAAAACAAAAAACAGAAGAATCTAGTTGCAGCTTTTATTAAGTCATGACAGGAACCTATTACAGTTTAGGGTCAAAACCAATTACTGACTGACTATTAGTCTGTATTACAAGTGCTGTATATTGTGTTCTATGTCAGGGTCCCCGACCACAGGTCCGCGGACCGGTAATGGGTCTCAGCCTGTTCGGTACCACGCCGCACAGAGACAGACATGCGAGCTGTGAGCAAATTTACTCGATCAGACGTGACGTAGAAAATATGCGCGACTCCAGCCAATCAGAGTCCCCCTTTTAACCTTGGTTGAAAAGTTGAAATCAACAGAATCCGCCAATAAATGAAAGAAGAAGCCATACAAAGAAAGTAATAGGAACAAATTCACCAAAGGTACAGCTAGCTAAACGCAAAGTGTATGGGCAGCCATGACTTGCGAAGATGATTTTGACAAGAGAAGTTCCTCCCCTCGTGGAATCTCCAGAGAGACGTGGAAGAGGAAGTTCTTGTGCGTGCTCTCTTGTCAAAAACAAGAAACCTGTTGAATCATTTGAACAAGTAGCACACAAGTGATCAAGTGGAAAGCATGAAAAAAAGTTTGCACAGCCTGCTCGCATAAACATTAGCAGTTCAGTCACTAATAACAAGCCAGCAGCCACCAGATCAAAGTAGCAATGAGGCTAACCCCGTATGTAGGATCGTAACTTAAAAAATAATTATGTCTACATGATAAGGTTTAGTTATTATTCCTGGTTGGTCCATTTCTTGGTAGTTCACTGTGCGATTTTGTTTTAATCTACATTCGTTATGCAGTACAATAACACTGTTTGAAATGAATGAATGTTAATAACATGTTGAATTATTCTATAAACATCCCTATTGTCAGTACCAGTGCTTTAAAACTGGCAATTTACAAGCGATGAAAAAAATGGTTGCCGGTCCGCGAACAGCATGTATTTGTCTCAACCGGTCCTTGGCACTAAAAAAGTTTGGGGACCATTGTTCTATGTGATTAAAACAAAACAAAAAAAAGTGCGATATAAATCCACTCATCCATCCATTTTCTGTTGAATGGTAATGTAACATAAAGAGCGTTTTCCCAAAACAAGGTAAAAGCCACATTTTATGTTCAAATGTTTTCTCTAACACTGTAAGTATAAATAGTGTTTCGAACATTTTTATGTCCGGGTATATATAATTAGTCAATTTTCTCAGAATGATCCAAATGCATTGACAGTGTTTTGGAGAAAAAACGTTTTATATGTACGAATGCGCGGTCTTGTGGTCAATTCGGAGTGAGGCTTGTTGGACGTCTCTGGGCATCTAATTCCTTTCTTACAACGTGTAGGACAAACAAAGTCAACTTAATAGGCATCGCCTACTTTGAAATCTGACAAACAATTCAAGACAAAATAGTCAACATAAAATGTGTCAGCAAACACGTCTTTGCGCCAATCTGGAGAGGAAGTCGACAAAACTTTTGTTAGAAATCATCATCATCGTTATGAAGTTGAGTTCTTCCTGGGAAGTCAGTCACTGCGGAAACAAAGTGTATTAGTGAGAGGAAGGGGCCTGATGTCCATCCACAACTCCTGGATGTGCAGCACAAGAATTGCGTTTGGACAATCAGCTCCAGACTCCCGGTCACAGCAAAACCATCCTTTTGTCCGCACAGTGCAGTGGCTTAAAAAACAACAACAACAACAACAATAATAATAATTATAAGAATAATAACATGGCAAAAAAAATGCACAAATTGTGTCTTTGAGGATTTGATGCTCCAACTTAACTTTAAAAAAAGGTTACAATCAAAGTTTGTCTGCAACAAGTCTCAACTTGTGAAAGTTTGAACTGAAATTCAAAATACAAGACGCACCTTCAGTCATGCATTTTCTTGAAAGTCCCAGTTTTGACAAATTTCTCCATCACTACATAAACTTTTATCGGTTCTATGTGCCTTCTAGTGAATCTCGGTTAAGTCCACACTCCTGTGCATCCGAGCTCAAGCGCTGCGTGTTCCGTTTGCCTCCTCTTGTGCTCCTCTCTGCCGCTTCCCATCTATCCATCTCATTTCATGCAGGAGTGGGGTTACCTAAGCGACTGGGCCTCAAAGGAGAAAATCTCCTTTTCTACAATTAGCTGTGAAAGTGACAGAAGGGAAAGAAGGGAGGGTTCCGTGACAATGGGGGGGCTTGAACGCAGAGAAGGAAAGAATGACAGCAGTGCACATGACAGGTACCAAGATGTAAAGTTAAAAAGTACTCATCTGATGTTTTTCCAATTTTTTGCAGTTTTTTGGATGAGGAATCTGTGGACGCTATCAAGATGGTCAAAATAAACGCATCCAATTATCTTTTTTACTTTTCAAAATGATCAATTTCAAGATATAGTTGAACTCAAAAGTAATATTTAATTCATTCGTCCTATTTTTTTCCTCCTAAAAAACATGAATGAAAATATGCACCGGCTGGCCTCTCCAATCGTCACGATGTATTACGATCGTTTACTTAAAATGATAATGCTCAATTTTGGCATGTGCAACAGAGGTATTCCTTCAACAGTATGCGTATCATTGGGGAGAGCTGTTTTGAATATTTTGCGTATCCTCTTTCACTACATGCAAGGCCCAACGTGTAACAACAGTGCAGTTCCAGCAGAGCAAGAAACATTAACCTCTCTGACAGTGTCAGTCAAACCTGATGATATCTTTCTAGGTACCGGTAGGTTGTTTCTGACAAGGATTTCATTTTCAGGTGCACCCAATACTGTGGCCAATAAGTAGCAAACTCGGCGGCATTACCCTATGGCATACTAAAGTGAAAGATGCCCATCGTCGTCATCTAAAAAGATGCAGAGGGAGTACCAACTGAGTAACCATGGGGAGCAAAACACAAAAGGGTGTGGCGTGGGAATGTCCCCCAGAGGTCAGGAGTGAGGCTGAAGAGGTCAGAGGTCGGAGCCAGCTGGACAGCACACAAGAGGAGAGGAGGGTGAGAAAAGACGGTGAGGGGTTGGGATGCTCCACAAACGGACGAAGTGGACCCAATGGGACATTAACATTGAACTGATGGGAGACTCGGCGGCCAGCGCCTATTAACAGAGAAGCTAAGCTGTGACACACTCATGCGTAATGGGCCGTGGTAATCGACAAATGACAAGAAGCTCATTGTGGATGCAAAAAGCAGCCTTCCAAAAGCAGTGTACGATTACAAGGTTGTTGGGATTATCAGAAATGACGCCTAACTCCCATTTACTATAATTTGGAATAGAGATGTAAAATTCATAAAATGCTCAACTCTAAAGTGTAGGCTGTATTGGAGTTTTTCGCCATTGGTTTGGCTCGTTTTTTGAAATCGAAATGACATACCGGTATTATGACAAATGAAATCTATATAAAGAGCACATATTTTGCACTGATGAAAAATTGTGTCCCCCTCCAGGATTTAAATTGCTCCCCATCCCTGTTCTATGTTATCATAAGTGGTTTTCTGCGCTCTTTGTCATTGTTCTGCTGATAGGGAAGCATGTCACGTCCATTTTGAACAAAGCCAGTGAGAAGTCAGAAAACAATTGACAGAGGTGCATGATATTTTAGTGTAGCTATATGGTATCCCCAGTGAAACAGAAATCACACGGTTACATTACATAATTCTTTGATAACTTCTCATTACTGTACTTTTTCTTACCTGTTGTTAAGGTTGATGTCTCTCTCAGTGCGGAAACAATTCTAGCCAAGTTGTTTACAATAATATTGTGCATATAATCATAATGCGATAGATGGTCATCATCATCATAAGCCAAACAACATGAAGAAACTGTTCAGCTGTAGATAAGAATCTACTGGTCACTGCAGTTAAGTTACATGTTTTGCATTTCTTTTATTGATCATTTATTTTAATTTTTCACAGTTGAATGATCAGTTGCGCGGTGAAGAATTATTTGTGAACAATTCCCACGGTTATAGCCGATCGCCGCAGACCTCAGCACCGTGGACAAGGTCAGCGGGGCCAGCAGGCCGTCTGCATCAGGTCCATGGTGGTCCTAAAAAGGAGCATCTTGAGCTCAAGCAGTCGGGGTCAACATGCAAATGTTAACCCCTGAGTGAAAGCAGTGGATCAATGTTCTCATGTCACTCTCTCCACTCATGAATGTGTCAGCCGGCACGCCGCAGTGTTTTCATATTTAATCGCATTCACACATAACAATGGGGGAGGCAGCCTTTGAGTTATCCTCTCACACTCGTGCACTGATTTAGTGAGACAAGAGAACGATAGCGAAATGAAATTTGTGAATATAACACAATAAACCGAGTGGTACCAGCTCACGTTTGCACGTTAAAAAAAAAAAAAAAATCTTCCTTATCCGGCACAATCCTGGCAGATAAAGTTCAGTTGCCGCCTCTCAGGCAGGCCCACCCACTGCTGCCCCTCTGTGGTCAACATGGCACCAGTTACTCCACATTCATATGCACGCTCCGGTGGTCCTTGTCCCGGGGCCCAGTTCTGGTAACAGTCAGCTGACGAACCGCTCCAAAACCAAAGGCCAAAGGTGCAAGTGTAGCGCAGACCAAGCCAAATGTGGGATGATGTGGAATTCTGTGCCATCTGTGCCACCAGATCCTGAGTGCTTTGCTCAGTGATGAAGACAAGGTCCATGTAGTTCTCTCGGCAGTAACTCGAGGCTTCCATCCAAGTCATGTTTTCACAAATTAATATCAGGTTTCCTGTGACCTAAATCGACTCATGTTTTCTCGTCTTGTAAATTTGTATGGAACAGTTAATATAAGAAGTTCTGTGCCAATCTTTTGTCTCCGTTCTCTCCCAAAAATTCGACCAAAGTGCATGTTTCACACTCGCTGTATGATATTTCCAAGGGTTCTGAATTGCTTCCGTTTTTAATGAATGGTTGTAAAGTGCTTCAAATACACAATCATAGATTTGACAAGGTACCAAAAGAAAATCTGTCCGGCAGAGTAAAAATAAAATAAAATGGAGCTTGTGATTGATTATTAGACAGTTTCAACATGTGCCTAGACCTGCATGTAAAAGATATTTATCATTAATTTTACTCCCTGCTTTGCTACACTGCATCTTTAAGTTAGTTTTATCTCTGTATCACTTTGTGGTATTTCTCACAAAGAGACTAATGAATCAAATCAATCCAGTTTTCATGAAATGCCCACCTAAACAAATGTGTTTTGAATTGCTCCTCCCCCCCCCTTTATATTGTTTTAACACAGAAGTGGCACTTAACGTAAAATCCCTTGAATAACATTTTTTTCCTTTTTTTTTCCTTTTTGCAAAATAAAGACCCCAAATCGAGGAGGTGTATTATAAAGTGGCTAATCGGAAATAATTTTGATGATGAAAACAACTTTCAAAATTGTTCAGATGTTCACCTATGCAGTTGTAAAAAAAAAAAAAAATTTTTAAAAACTCACTGATTTATAGTGCATTTTAAACGCAATGTAACTCGATATACTTCACACACTGTTACTAACAGTACAACATTTAAAAGCAAAGTAAGGAAATAAAATTACTAAAAGTGCATGCAGTGCAAGAACAAGATTTCTGAACAAGTTTTTAAAAAGACTTACATTTACAGTGGATAACTGTATTGTTTTCAGTGTCCCAGCCTGCATCGCAGATGGAGAAACACCACCTGCAGACGCATAGAAATGTGGCGTTTCTGCCATTATGATGAGTTGTTTGAAGGTGTTGTGACAGTCACTGGCAGTGTGTCCTGTGTGCTTGTCTGAGTGGTTGCAGGAAACTTTGCTGGCTGCACCAAAATATAACACAACAGCGATGCAGTACGGATGTGTACAGTATATATAGATGCAGCTCTCCCCAAAAATGTGGATATCAACGGAAGCTTGATTTATTTCATGTCGTTTAATTCAAAAAAGTGAACCTAAGCTTCTATACATACACTTCGGGAATTATAAGTCCTGAGGTCTTTTCATTTTAATGTTCAGAGCTGATAGCTGATTAAAAAAGAAAAACTGCTAAAATTACGAAAAGCTGGTTATGTAACCTCGATTTTACTGTGCTGGATTGGTCAGAAAACTCACCCGACATGAACCCTGTACAGAATTTATGGGCTACTCTATTGCCAAAAGCAGTGTAAGATACACCAGACCAAATAAAGCACACAAGCTGAAAGGCTGCTATCAAAGCAATCTAGACATCCAGAACACCTCAACAATGTCGCCCGCCTCCATGCCACAACTTATTGATGCAATAATTCAAGCAGAGAGATCTTCAACAGTAGATATGGAGTGAATGTACCCGTTGGCGGAGGTGTACAAACAAAGGTGCTGTGTGGCACCATAAATGTTTTGACTGACTAAACACTTAACACCAGTGAGCCTGGCTTCCATTTTCAAGGGTTTTCACTTAGCTTTGCCAACCCTTCGTGGGCCAAGGCACATGTTGACATTAATAGAAAAAAGTCGCAGGACCCCACCAAATAAAAATCATACAGTGCGGCCGTGAATATTCATGGGGTAGCATTTTTGAATTTGCCAAATTGCTGATATTTTGGGGAACCTATTTTTGTGTACAATGTTCAGGCCAAATCCATGTCTAAGATAAAAAAATAATGCTGTGGTTCCATCTGGTGGCATCTTGACACCAAAATACTATGCTGAACTAAAGGGAGGAGTTTCATTTCGTCTGGCCCTAGCATTGTCTAATGTAAAAAAAAGTGCTTTGCCAACATCTTGTGACATCAAGAGACATTTGAAATCTTCAATTTTCCATTACTCACTGAATTTCACTGTCCATGGCCAGGCTAGGTCCCTTTCCTTCGCTAAAACCGTATACTATATGCTAATATATTGATCTCATCTCAATTGACTTACACTAATGATGCTACATGTGGTTGGTAATCATTGTTTAGACAATAAGATTGTCATTTTAAATTGCAGGCTCGAAAAATAAATGAGTGTTATGTAAACCACGAGCCCCTATGATACAGTTGTATCTGTTTTCAGTTGCAACAGTCTTTCACCTATTCAGGGACATATTTTCATGGAAGCCACAGTAGCAAGGTATGACTATAAAACATTGTAATCAGTCATCAGTTTATTCATATGCGCTTTCTGGAATCACTTTTTTTCAAATCAATGTAATTAATATCATTGGGGGTTGTTTACGCGCATGATGTCTTCTCTTTGATGTGAAATTTGAATTTTTGCATACAGTTGAGCTCAAATTACATTGTTTGCAAACGTTCAACGGTTAGCCACGTCCAAGTGAAAAAAAGTGACGGGTTTGGTTTTATGGAGCTGTTTGAATTTTTCACATTTTGTTGCTTCATTGCAAACTTTTTGTAGGTTTGTAAACATGTACACCAATACTTGTCCTGTATACAGTTTACGACAGGTGTAGCTTGATGACAAATAGACATGAGTCAATTTATGGCCTTGACACGCAAAGGTGCGTTCACTGGCTGCTACATTTCAGATCATGCCACTGGCTATCATCTTGGAATATAGCGGACATACAGTCTTGATCACGGTAGCTTGATTGCTGCGGGTTTGACAAGCGGAATGACGACTCGCTCCCATCAGACCACCGCCACGTACCTCGAAAGAGGCTGATCCACACATTTTGAGATGTGGACACATTCTGGACTTCCTTGTTCTCTTCTGCTGAGCCTCCACTGACCAGATCCAAAGATAAATCCCTGCTGTGCTTTAAGGCGTCCTTCCCTCCATGATTTAGTGATGACAACAATAATGTAGCCACTTGGAGTATCACTGTTCCCTGCCAGATTTTTTTTAAAGCATGATTTGTGACATTGGTTGAACAATGACTGCAATTTCAGGATTATATAATTTTAAATTCGTACTTGCCATGCCTAACAAAGCTCCTTTGGTTTTCACACTCACTTTCAAATCATTCTCCCTGTGAATCCATAGCCCCACATGAATGTTGACCCAATCCCTACGGATTTACCACCTTCCAGTTAAAGAAATTGAGTTTTTTTTATTCAGCCACGCCCAATGCCACCTTGATACATCGCCCAGCTCCAGTCCTATCCACGATCTGACGATGTTATTTGGAACAGAGGCAATCAGATTGCTATCTGTCAGGTTGTTGATCGTGGCAAGGTCCGTGGAAAATGCCAGTTTAAAGGAGCAGAGTTCTGTAGAATGACAGCTAACTTGTTTGGTAACAAAAAGAAAGACACATATTGTTTGGCAGAGAACTCATAACTCTAAGTACTGTCCAATTCAAAATATGGTGCTAGTGTTCACACATCTACATTTATATTATAATGCATTTGCAAATGGGATATACAGACGAAAAGTTACAAACCTGAAAATAGCAGTATTTAAAGGGTAGTACTCCTTTTCGTCGAGACGAATGCTTTCAAGAAGAAAAGCTGCAAACATTTTCAGTGATGTGTGTGTGTGTGTGTGTGTGTGTGTGTGTGTGTGTGTGTGTGTGTGTGTGTGTGTGTGTGTGTTTGTTGGGTGGTCCATTTCCCAAAAAAAAACCCGCCACCACACATAGGTGGATGCCCGAGGCCACCACCCTGTTTGGCCTTCTGCACGACGTTGGTTTCATATTTCTTGACTAACTCAAACATTCAACCCCAAGATGTTCATTTCCTTCAGGACACCTTGGGAACTATTTATTCCACTTTCCAAATCTCCAAATGTTCTCTATAAAACCCCCAAATGAAGGGTCATTTTACATCATTACCTCGTCCTTTTCGATTTATCGACCGTTGAAAACCATCTTTAATTTTCTGTTCAACGGTTCACCAGTTGAATTAACTCACCAACATTTGTCATACTTTTAGTCCGAGTTCCTTCGCCTTCCACCCACCCGTTTGGTAACAAAAAGAAAGACACATATTGTTTGGCAGAGAACTCATAACTCTAAGGACTGTCCAATTCAAAATATGGTGCTAGTGTTCGTTCACACGTCAACATTTATATTATAATGCATTTGTAAATGGGATATACAGAAGAAAAGTTACAAACCTGAAAATAGCAGTATATAAAGGGTAGTACTCCTTTTCGTCGAGATGAATGCTTTCAAGAAGAAAAGCTGCAAACATTTTCAGTGACGTGTGTGTGTGCGTGTGTGTGTGTGCGTGTGTGTGTGTGTGTGTGTGTGTGTGTGTGT